AGAAAATGAAAGGAGTGAGGGACTTAAGATCTCAGTGTAAAGAAAAGAGAATGAAGTGTAGTAGTTTAGAGAAGAAGGTAGAGTTAGAATCTTTGGGTCAGCTTTCTTCTCAATAAACTAATTCTGGGTCTTAATGAGAAGGAAGTAATCTAGAGGCATTACCTAATCTATTGTTGGTCATTACCTCTTAGTTTCTTGTGGATAATGATGAAACATTTAAGGTTATGTTTGTCTCTTGACCCAATAAATAAAATAGATTTTATGTTTGAGCTAAGTGGAGTATCTCAGGCTGTTTAAAGTCTCTTGTAGAGGTTTGACTATAATGCCACCTCTTGAACAAATGTAGGTAAACTATTGACGGAATTTTAATCCTTGCATCAAAAATTAATGTGACACATTTTATTTACCTTAATAAATAGATATTAACCCTTTGCACTCCGAACCATTTTACGATTATTTAATTTCTTGTGCCATTTCAAGATAAAACTTCAGCGAAACGTGCATGTCTCAAAAAGTTGTGTTGAAATAACCTCAATTCCCTGTAATCACTAATAAATTGCAATGTCCCCTGAGAGGGGACATCCGAGTGATATGCTAGAATTCTGATGTCCCCTGAGAGGGGACAGTGGAGAGCAAAGGGTTAAACAGTGTAAGGGCAGGAACAGGGCACTGAGCAGGTTTTCTGATCCAGCAGACCTGGTAAGGAGGAGTCAGAGTCCTCAGTGGCTTTTGCAGGTATTTTGTTTAGATTTTCCAGGCACATGGCAGGCAAGGGTGCTGGGGGGCCAGGAGGCTGGCAGGCCTCCCAGCCCCCAGCAAATCCTCACTTTATCTGGGCTCTCTGGCGTTCTCTCTGCTTCTCTTCTTCTTCTCTCGGCTTCGTTTGTTCTTGGCTTCTGCTGGCATCCCTGTGACGCCGCCCTTATAAACTCAGTCTCTCAGCCCAGGTGTACCCACTTCAGGTGCCCGCCATCAGGTGTGCATTCGGGACCACAGGGTTCCCTCATCTATCCTAATTGGGGGGGGGGTGCGCACAGAAAAGCCTGATACTTTTACCTTATCCTACAGCAGTCTTTCAAAATGAAAGATATGAAGCTGTATAATAAATATTGAAGGTTTCATTTTTTTTTTTTTTTTCCCAGACTGAAAAGTGTTTTGCAAGGTGTACAGGTCAGGAAGACCAGGGCAGGTTTTCTAGGATCCAGCAGACCGGGTAAAGGAGGAGTCAGAGTCCTCAGTGGTTTTTTGCAGGTCTTTTATTGGGATTACCAGGTACACAGCAAGCAGGGGTGCTGGGGGGCCGGGAGGCTGGCAGGCCTCCCAGCCCCCAGCAAATCTTCACTCTATCTGGGCTCTCCGGCGTTCTCTGCTTCTCTCTCAGCTTCTGTTCGTTCTCGGCTTCTTGGCTTCTGCTGGCGTCCCCGTGACGCCGCCCTTAAAAGCAGTCTTAGCCCAGGGGAATCCCATCTACCTATGCCCACACCCTATTCCAGGTGCCCGCCATCAGGCATGCATTCAGGACCGCAAGGATCCATCATCTATCCTGATGGCGGGAGGGCAGAAAAGCCTGACATTTTTCCTTATCCTACACAAGGTTTCCGAAATCTAGGATTCCAAAAGAGGCCTCAATAAATTAATTATACATAAACAATATAATGGCTTTAGTTTTAGTTTTCAGAAACAGAGTTGAAAATGTCCTTGATTCATTCCTTTAATATTAATTTAATCTTAGAGAACTCTGAGTGATGCTATAAAATATGCTGTGACCTGCTTTAGTAAAGTGCATGGGAAAGTGGCCATTTGGAATAGATTTGTTAAGAAAAGTTTGAAATTCTTGGACTTGAACTAATTTGTTTTCCATGGATCCCATGAGAATACTTGTAAAACCAGATGATAGGATACAGTTGGATCCTGTGAATGGCACTAGTTTACAGTTATGTTTTTTGGATATTTTCCATATGTTGCTGCTTTCTTTGTATTTGACCATGTATAGTAGATACACAGAATTTCATGCACCAGATAAGAAAAACAACTTGTTGAACAGGCTCTTTAGAAGCATGTAAAACACGCATCTTAAATTTTCTTATGTCAAAAAGCAATTAAGTTATTAAAGTGATTTTTTTTTAAATAAGAAAACAAATATCTTAAGATTTAAGCTGTTGAGGTATGTGATTAGTATACAACCTATTAATGGAGGTAGAAATAGATTTTGTGTAGCAGTAAGAGATCCAAAAATAGTTTGGAGTAAAATTGGGAGAGGGTTCATGTGGAGCAATATATGTCATTTAAAAGAGTTATTAGGTAAAGTGGTGGTATGATTGCTTTGGGTATTTCTGGTTCATTGACAGTAATTATAAATGACCTGTATTTAGGAAGAGGATGGGGGGGAAGATCAAGATAAACTGAGTCATCAGATTTGACCAAATTGTCTCCCTGCCCCTTTTTAAAACCTGTATTGAGATATAATTGACATACAACCATTGTCCTTTGACTAGAAGACCACAGAATGAAATGTGAACTTCCTAAGCCACATAAGATAATACCACCTAATTTAATTTAATATCTTTTTAGTTTTGAAAATCTTAACACTGATAAGTCTGATTTCCTTAGTTATCTACCTCATAAGAATAACCTGGTGGGCCTCCCTGGTGGCTCAAGGGGTTAAACACCGCACTACGAAGCAATCTGCAGCCTCTGCAGCATGAATTTGATCCCTGGCTGGCCAGGGAGCAACCTACATGGCACAGCAGACCTCTCCAGTCTCCCCCGCTGCTCCCCTCAGCAGTGTACTTCGGTCAATCTGCCTGTTCTGTTCCCCACTCTGTCTCTGGTGAATCCTCTCACCCTCTGCATCTCTGGCCTGTACCCCAGCTCTTGCATGCATAAATAAATCGTTAAAGAAAAAAATAAAAAATAACCTGGTATCAGATATGATTTGTTATCTTAGCTATGTGGTGTGAAACAGCTGTCTCTGAGGCAGTGTGCATCCATTATTGATGCTGAAGATTACCAGAAAGTATTAGAACCTTAATTTATTGATGTTTACTTTTTTAATCTACAGAGAAATAAATGTTCATTAATATATAATGTTCAGGTGCAGATTGTACACATTTGCTATATTATTGTGCCTGTATTTGTGATACTCAAAATTTTCACTGATTGGCTCAGAGCCTTTTTTTTTTTAATTAAGTTTCTATTTAGTTTTATTTTTTTTTAAAGATTATTTATGCATAAAAGAACTGGGGTACAGGCCAGAGGTGTGGAGGGTGAGAGGACCCACCAGAGACAGAGTAGGGAACAGAACAGGCAGACTGACTGAAACACACTGCTGAGGGGAGCAGTGGGCGAGTCAGGAGAGGTCTGCTGCACCATGTGTGTCCCCTCCATGGCCAAGGATCGAACTCGTGCTTCATTGGCTGCGGACAGATCCACAGGCTGCGTCCCAACCCCTTGTGCCACCAGGGAGGCCCTGCTTAGAGCTCTTTTATATGTCTAAAAGAATGGAACCCATTCCATGGACATGAATGTTAAATCCAAGGCCATGCTTTCAATTTTAATAAATTTTTCTCTTTGATAATATGCTTTTAACAGAAAAAAACCCTTTGATTGCTATAGACCTCCGCACAGTCCGTTTTAGTAAGCATTAGTGACATGTGAATGTTTAATACAAATTAAGTGGAAGTGAACATTCATCTCCTCATAGTATGACAGTCACATTTCAATGTCGAAGTAATCACGTGGGCAAGTGACTACCATATTGGACTTGCAGATATTCATGTCAGAAAGTTCTGATAGTGCTGCTGTAGACTTTCTCACTTAGTGATTTTAGTTTCAGTCTTTTCATGCCTTTTCTTTAAAAAAAAAAGATGCCCAAAGCAAATAGACAACATCATTTCTGTAATCTCTACGGGTGTGCCAAACTTTTTCTACTCAAATGTAATTCACTTTTCCAAATTTTGTTAATATAAGTAGTTGAAGTTGCTTTTCACCCATCCATTATTACATTTTCCCCTTACATCTGGTAGTACTCCATTGGCACTGTCTTCTGGCATGCAAACTTTTGAATATGAGCCTCTTATGTTACCCTATTAGCATGTCTGCCTGGCGCCTCTTGGGTTAAGAAACACTTGATATAAATGTGTATTGAATGAAAGCCTACCTTTTTTTCTGGGGAAATTATTCACATTTTCTGTTTGAAACAGTGTTTTATCTAGCAGCAGCCTAAACCCAAGGTGAATGATTTATATGTTCTGATACAGAGCTTTAAGGTTATAGAAAGTCTTAAATTGTAGGAGGAACTATTACTTTTTCAGTCTAAAACCCTTTCTCAAATAGAACATTTTCATAATTCTGAAAGAGAACTGGAGATTGTAATCACAGTAGGGTTTCAACCTACAAGAATATATTTTTAAATACATGGACCTTTGCTGATTGCTTTGACCTAAATGTGCAGTATCACATTTGAGAAGAGAATTGGATCTTAGCCATGACATAAACACAAGTGTAAATAATTAAAGCTGTGCTGAGAAAGACTGGAAGAATGGTAAGATGGTTACTTGTAAAATTGGTTTGGACCAAATTAGATGCCGATAGCCCAGGAAAACATTTACTGTAAATAGTAGATTAGATGTATTTGTCTGATGAATCGAATTTGATCTCTGAATTACTGAACCATTCAGGTACATTGTATTATTAGATGTGCATTTAGGTTATAGAAGTATAATACTTTGGTATTATAGTAATTTTTAACTATTAGTTTTTGTTTTCTTTATGCCATGAGCTCACCAGTTACATACTTGCTTTTCTTTCAAGTAATTAGGACTTATAATATTTATAGTAGTTGATTCTAAAGAAAATGAGGGGTGGCATGGGTAGATTTAGTTTGGAGAAAGCTTATCGATTAGTTTGATCAGCCCTCATATCCCTATCTTTTATGCCTTGTAGGAAACATACATATGTGTAATGTATGGTGTTACTCTCTGCATCAATGATTCTTACAGGTGGAACAATCCAAAGTTTTAATCAAAGAAGGTGGTGTTCAGTTGCTGCTCACAATAGTTGATACCCCAGGATTTGGAGATGCAGTGGATAATAGTAATTGGTAAGAAGCATTTGTCATCATTGCTTTTCGTTATATTTGGGCTGTTGGGGTGATTAGACTTTTCTGTGCTTATACGTTTTAAAAGTTTTCATCTTAGCAAAGATATTGAACTTTAAGTGATATGACTTGGATTCACATACCAACTTTAAAACCACTTGATAATGTTGCATAAGTTCTTTGAACTGATTTTCTATAAAATGGAAATAACACCTATCATAATTATTTTGAAGACAATGTCTGAAACAATTTGGATACAAGGATTCTTAATTGTAAAAATTTTCATTTAAAATTTAAATATTAAACCTGATTTTAGACTTTAAGTTTTTTCATAAGTATAAGTGAAGAAAATATCCATGACATTATAGTCAGAAATAGCATCTTAGTATATTATAAGCATTATTTACATTTCCTTGAACTCACTGGTTTTGAAGTAACTTTCTGTCAACCTTTAAAACACCTACGCAACTTCATCATAAGGATTTTGAATTGTTTAAAGTTGTTTTTTGCTTGAAAGTACTACTTGGATATGATTTTCACATTTTGTTAGTGTAGATATCTTATCAATGCAAATAACAATTTAGTTGTGTTTTGACTCCAAAATTTTTTTTTTCATTTGGAAAGGTTAGAAATAAGGAATCAATATTTTTCAATATTAATTCATACCTGAAATTGAATCACTATATGTAGAATAATTTGAGATATCTTCCAGTGGTTAAGATTGGTTTGTCTGTTTAATAATATTATTACCCTTGACAGTCATCAGTTTTATATTATACGTAGATTTGCAACTTAATTTTTTTTTTTAATCTTTGTTCTATAGCTGGCAGCCTGTTATTGACTACATTGATAGTAAATTTGAAGACTACCTAAATGCAGAATCTCGAGTGAACAGACGTCAGATGCCTGATAACAGGGTGCAGTGTTGTTTATACTTCATTGCTCCTTCAGGACATGGGTCAGTACCATGATGCTTTTGATAACTCTGTTGTTTTTTATTACTCAACTTTGGGAACATAGTTTAGTTAGTAATCTTTAATCTCTGTGGAGTACATTTTGACTATACCAATTGTAAAGATTTCCAAATTCCGTGTAAAAATGATTTATAAAATACTTTTTAAGACCTAGTTAAGATAAATCATAATAATGCTTCTTAGTTTCATATGCATAGGAAGCGGTGTTTCCACCATGGTTTGATGTCTCATTGTGACTACTTCGGTTTACTTTTTTGACCACTCTGTCATTAATTAAATAAGGAAAAACAGCCCTAACAATTCGCTTAGGCATAATCTTAGAAACTACAAAGATGTCATTTACTGTAAATCTGATAGAGAATATCTTAAGTGCTAAAGTTTTCATGTGTCATTTCTTTCTTCACTGAATTGATTTGGCTTCTGTTTCACTCTATCATAGTCACATCATTTAAACTACTTATTAGGAGTAAAGTAAACACACACAGACACACACACCACACATACACCCCCCCCCCCACCACCTGTTACAACCAGCCTGTAACTGCCTTTTTTACTGTTTGTGCTTTATGATTTTGAATAGTTATATATCACTGTCAGCTGCAGCTATTTGTAATTCCTCTTCACTCTTTTTGTTTGGGTAAATGACTTAGCATAACTCAGCCACCTGATGATTATAAATGTACTATCATTCCACAAAAGGGAGCTGGACTATTGCATAGCATCAGACTAAAGAGCATTGTCACTAACACCCAGATTACAGTAGTGTGAACCAATTCCATCATAAAAATACCTTTCTGATCTATTTTCTACTTCTGTCCAACTTTTTGCTAGAAGGCCTAGCACTCATTATCATTGTTTTGGTTGAGCAGAAAACCTTAATATATATCTATTTTTCTTTCTGTCAGGCTGTAGTGGTGAAAATTTTTTTTTATTTCTAATACCCTTCTACGGTATTTTCAGAAATTTACATATTTAAAGCTCAGGATTGACTCAAATTGACTTGTTGACTTAAAAAGCTCAAGAAAAGTAAACTCAAAAATATAATACATTGTATAGCTTTTTATGAGTCGTTGTGTAGCTTCTTCCTGAATTTATATTTTGTTATCATTCTAGTATAACTTGTTAGGGCTTTTTCCTGTAAACCAACTGAGTAAAATCTTAATCTATTGTTAAGCCAGTAAAAATCTGTCAGTTTATATTCAGTTTTGTTATTTTAGATCTTTTGGACTTCCTCCAAGATTTAGTCATTCTCATGAAATCACATTCCCCCTGTTTCTCTGGGGGAAAATAGTCTTTAAAATTGCCTGAGAAATAATTTTTTTAAAAGGAAAAATTTTTGATATGATTAAAATGATATGTAATGACCATTCTTGTTTGTCACAGAGGTAGAAGTTCAAATGATTTCCTATGTACAAAAATGTGCTTTTGAATAGTTTCTCATTTTAATAATTATTTTTAGAAATGGAACAAAGGTTTTGCCCATAGGTTTGTGCTACTGTGGATTAAGTTAAAGAATATGACACTGAATTTTATCTAGCATTCCAAATACCCTGCTCAATACAGACTGAAATTCCAGGCAGTCTAATAAATGGTCAGGGATTTTCTGTCTTACTAGGTAGTCCCTGGATTCCCTTTTCAGAGGGATCCTGTTTTTGTAGTAATTAAAATTGGTCTAACATTGTATTTTCAGCACCCCACCCCCACCCCAGCCCATCTCACCTTAGCCCACCAAGTGTCATCTCTGAGCATAGAGCAAAAAGTCTTTATTTCAGCTATTTTTACTTTAGTTTCTTTGTTCAGTGATTGGTAATTGCTATTAAAGTTAAAAACTGTCTTGGAACTTGAATCTTCAAATGTTGTTTTTATCCTTTTGAATATTGATTGCCACTTTAAAAAATCAGTTTTATATATGGGGTTTTTTTCCTTAGTAACATGGGTTATAAATATTTGTTGATTTTTCTGTAGGTTTGAGGTTAACTAGCCTTTCCCTCTAATGTGGGTTTATCTTCTAGAAATTCAATGAAGGACTTTCTGTTATTTGAAACAACATGTAAAAAAGTAAGATTTATTGGAAAAGAACATGAAATAAAACTAAATGGACAGAGGAAACATTTCCAACAGAGTATAATCTACTTGCAAACTAAATGTTTTCTGCTGTTGACATTTGTCAGCTTCTGAAATTTCTATTCTGATTTAAAAGGGCAAAGGTGGTTTTTCAGGTTTTTTTAAAGTTTTAACTTTTTTGTCTAAATTTTAATTTTTGAACTGATATAAATATTTATTGATCCAGTTGTTTTATATTTAGGAAATTGACTTCTGTGATTTTCCTGTCATGGTTATTTTTAATTTTCTTTCTTTTCGAAAGATGATGTAGCCTAATAAATATTTAGCAAGTGTTATTCTACTTTTAAATATAAAATCTTGCTAATTTTAATTTTAATAAATTACATTAAATGCTTTTAAGATTTAATGTAGTAAGTTACATTAAATGCTTTTAGACTGATTCTTATCTGTATATAATTACTGATGAAAAGAAGCAAAACATCTTTTTCAAGGATGGATAGTTTTTTTCAGTTAGCACTATAGAGGAGCCAAGGACATTGTTTACAGATAACACAGTGTTATTCCAGCTATACTCTTCTTTTCTATAATGGTTCCTATTTTCTAAATACCAGTATCAAATTGCAAAGAATTAAAAATAAGGAAAATTATTATAGTATCTGTTTTTACTTTCCTTACTCCTCCCATCTTTTTGCCGGTCAGTGTCACAAAGCTGTAGTGTTATTTGTTAGCAAAGAGTATAGTTAGTAAAGAGCAATAATATTATTTGTTAGTAAAGAGTAATACCTCAGTCACTGAGTCACAGTTGCCATAGCTTTGTATATACACTATGGTACTCTTAAGAGAACCCTAATAAGAACTTTGTTTTAAAATATAAGTCAGTAAAATTCATAGCAAAATGAGAATTTTAGTCCATTTTCTCCAGGTTTTATAATGTTAGGAAATACTACTTTCAAATGGTATTTCTGTGCAGAATATTCCCAGCATCTTTATTTGTGTGGAACATTAAGTTTATAATAAATTCCTAGGTGTTAGGAATTTATTTTGTTTTCCTTTAGAGTAATTCATGGATGTAAGAAAAAATGACAGCAGCTTACTTTTGTCATCAGCAGATATTTGGACACCTTCTCAAATTTTATAGCTGTTCTAGGAGTTGGAGATATAGTTGAATGCTACAAAGCTCTTGCTTTGGAAGATCTTTGAGTGAGAAGATGGGAAAAAATAAACAAGTAGGCAGTCACTGTATTGTAAATTACAAAGATGCGTAGTCTTAAGTTTGAGAAAGATTCCTATAGGAAATTAAAATTGTAGGCCAGGTTCTAAAGGATGACTAGGAATTTGGCAGGCCAAATAGAAGGGTGATGGGAATGGAGCATGAGGCAAGGCAAGGCAGAGTGGTTACCTTGTGGTGCTTTCAGAGGACCATGAGAAGTTCCAGACTTAATGTTTATCCATGTTGCTGTGAATGGCATGAGTTGCTTTTTTTTTTTTGGATTGCTGAGTAGTGTTCCATTGTGTGTATATACCACATCTTCTTGATCCAGTCATCTGTTTGGGGGCATTTAGGTTGTTTCCATATTTTAGCTATTGCAAATAGTGCTGCCATAAACATAGGAGCACTCCAGTATTTCTTGAAGAGCTCTTCTACTTAACTATCACTGACCTAATTTATCTTCAGAGGGTGTTTCTGATAAGTAAAGTAGTTGTAATATACTTAATTTAGCATTGGGGATGTGAAGATTCTTCTAAATTAATCACTTTAGTCATTTTAAATATTGTTTATTTCAGACTTAAACCTTTGGATATTGAGTTTATGAAACGTTTGCATGAAAAAGTGAACATCATCCCACTTATTGCCAAAGCAGACACACTCACACCGGAGGAGTGCCAACAGTTTAAAAAACAGGTGACCACAATGAGCTTTGAAACTTAGGTTTTTCATACCATTCATGATTTTTCAGTATAGTATGTTGGAATGTATTTTTCTTGCTACTTCACTGTATTGTCATTTATACTGTATTAAAAATAGCACTTGAAAATAAGCTCTGCCTTTTCTCCCCCAGTTCCTTGTCCATTTAAAATTTTAAGGCTATTTTAGATATTTTTGTATTGCCTCTACCAAGACCTCTATCCACACCACCTGCGATTATTTTGTTAGACTGAATTCCCCAGGAGAGGACTACTTTTTGAAAGGATCTCATTATTTTATGGTTCTCCTCCCCGCCCCCCGCTCTTTGTCATGGAGCTCTTCCAATAAAATAACCAAATTCCTTCTATAATAGGTATGTTTGTTTCAGTGACTTGACATCATTGTCCTTTTTTTTTTGGACTTTTATTAAAGACAGAGGTTTATTTTTTCCTTATCTTTTTAAATATATTTTTACATCTTATGAAATATTTGGTCAGTTTTTGTTTAGGGACTCTTCACTGCTTCTGGGACCCTTGCAGTGAGAGTAGGCCTGAACCATCCAGTACAGTTAGGAAGGTAGTTCTTTGGTATATTAGCTATTTATTATGAGTTTGAATAGGGTAGGTAGTGGAATGTTATTTGGATGTCTATATTCTGTTTAGAATATGGGTTAATTTTGGACAAGATTAATTTGAAGTAGGTCATTTCTGATGTTATTAATAAATTGTCTTTTCTCCCCAGCACCCCACTCCCCCACATTCTCCCTTATAATGTCTTAATTTCTTAATTTATAGGGTGTACTTTCTCCTGTATGCTTGCCAGATCTTGTATCTGTTGCTCCTTAATTTGTTTGTATGCACATATATGTGCAAGAATATTTTCTAATCAGTATGCAAATTTTTCCCCTGGAACAAATGCTATACTTAGTTTTACTGGCTTTTGCTAAATTCTACTAAAACTTTTAGGTGAGCTTAAGCTCTGTTGATTTAGTTGAATAAAATAGTTGGGTAGAATTTTACCTAGAAGAAGAATCTCAGTCATTATAAATAAATGAATGACCTAAAGCCATGATAGTAGAAATCAACTAGAGAAATCCCTTCTGGAAATTTACATCATTTGTATAATTCTTGATATTACAACTATATGATTTTGACACTTGTGAAATAATTGGATTTTGTCAATGGTATTTATATAACAACAATCTTTAGTTAAAAATAAAAACAACCAGAATAGTATTTTGATTTTTGTTTACAGCTTTATATCACTGAAATATTTAGTGAAGAATCTAGAGCTGAGGAGTTATGAGAATTTAAATAGAGAATTATAAAAGTAAAGCTAATGTTAAGAAAAAAAGCTAATATACTGATTATGGTGTGGCACTCTTCTTGCTGTCATTTTAGATAATGAAAGAAATCCAAGAACATAAAATTAAAATATATGAATTTCCAGAAACAGATGATGAAGAAGAAAATAAGCTTGTTAAAAAGATAAAGGTAGGTTCATTCTCATACATATACTGAAATGCTTTGGGACCTTAAAAGCCATTACAAAATCAATTGGAGAGACCACAGATATCATTAGCTGGTTTACAAGGGAGATTATTCAGTGTTGAATTCAATTTGCAATTAACTTTTTCATAAGTCATTTATGGAATAGTAGGATGACATAATTCCCTCATATGGTTTTTGATAACTGATTTCATGTTATGTAATTTTCCCCCTTAAAAAATGGCTAATGAAAAGGGAGAACATTCATTATTAGGCTGTATTATGGTTAATGTTTGTTTTTAAGACCCTCACAAACAAATGATGTTTTGTCCTTTTAGAAAAACCAAGCAAAAGTTTATGCTATCCTAATTTTATGTGTATTTGACTTATAAGTACCTGGAACCCAATAATGGTATCTTGATTGATGGTGTTAGGTAGACAAACACTTATCTGGAAATAATGAGCTGTTTGTGACTGAGTAATGAAGAATTTCTGAGATATTATAATGTAGTCATATATTTTATTCTTAATAGATTTCTGGAAGCTACAAGAATTTTGAAAGGTACTCGGTTAGCTTGGATGAATACAAATCTAATCCTCTCAAGTGGTTTCTATCAAAGGTAGAATTTAGCAAGCATAATATTCTCTGTTTCTAGGGTTTGTGATTTGGTAGCCAGCGTAGTCACAAGCTTTATTTTTTCCTGCTAACAGCCAATATACTTTTTCACCTTTAAAAATTTTTCCAGTCTAAAAAATTTTTTTCCAATACAGAACAGCATTTTTTTTGGTATGATTTTTTTAAACAAATAATTTGATCAGCATATGTCTTTAGTATTCTTAAGGTTTCAGAGAAAATGAAGTTTTATTCATTATTTACATTGGTGATAATGCATTGTAATAGCAGGTTACTAAATGGAAAGTTGTGATCTATGTAACTTCTTTATTCTTGAAGTTTTGAGGACTGAGATATATTTGAACAAGAATACTTTGTTTTATAGGACCGTTTACCTCTTGCTGTGGTAGGTAGTAATACTATCATTGAAGTTAATGGCAAAAGGGTCAGAGGAAGGCAGTATCCCTGGGGTGTTGCTGAAGGTAAGATTTTCTTCAGTGAATGGCTTTTTGTAAGATGTCACAAGTGTCAAAATTTTTGCATTTATAGTAAATAGTATAACATGTATACTGCATTGATTTAGGCTAGATTTTCAAAGATTTTAATTGTTTGGTATAGTCTCATTTCCTTGTAAGTATGTTCCATTTTCTCAGATTCTGTATCCTCCTAAGTCAAGCAAGTATGTGTTAAATTCTAATGTAATACTTTAGTAGTCACTTACATTGTCCTCTATCCTCCCAGCACTGCCCCATCATTAAGTCTGTTCTTGTTATCTTTACCTTGGGTCCAAAGATTGCTTCCAGAGAATCTAATGAAGCTTCTGGAATTGCAAAAAATGTTGGAAAAAAGGCCTTTCACTTTTATCTGAGTCTCAGATGGGTCTGGAACCCTGAAAAATGATTGAGAACAACTTTCAGAAGCCCAATCAAAGGAATCACAGTCTCCTTTTCTTTGCATCGCATCTTTAGATTAAAACAATTTCGTTATTAGGAGATCCTCTTCTAATTTTGTAAAGTATTGTAAACATCAATAAAATATTAGTTGCAGCATCAAATCTTAAATAGATGTGTATATTTTATAGTGGCTTTACATACTATTTAATCTGTGCTATAAGTTACTTGGAACCAAGATTGAGCCATGATTGTTTTATCTGTTTGTCAATATTGCTTCAGAAAATTCTATCAGTTTTTGTTACTATTGTGTGCTATTCTAAGTTACTGTTCTTATCATTGACTTTCCCCACTAATAACCTTACATTCATTACTAGCTCTCTTTCATTGTCAAGTAACCTTCAGTTGCTGAGCTCAGGTTTTAGAACTTTTACAGCCCTTAGAAATAATGCATTGAAAAATTCATTCATATTTCTAGTTTTTTTTTGTCTTCCTCCCCTGTCCTCCCTCCCCCACCAAGAACATTCCTGTTTGTGCTAACATTTTAAAAAGAAAAAGAACCTGGAAGTTCTTAACTTTTCATTCTGATTACCTTAAGCAGGTTTTTCTAAAGTGATTCCCCCTGCACTCTCAACACTAAATTTTTTTAATGTATTTTACTATGGAATAAGTAAATATTGTCTACCAATATAGAGAAATACATGATCTCCCCCACTCAAAATTTCAAAATTGTTCACTTTCAGATTACTCATTTGTTAGGTTTACATATTTTATCATTGAGAATTAGACTACAGTAAAGTAATATAATTTACTTCTCTTGCACTCACAATGCTATTTAAACCTTGATTTAAAAAAAATTGAGCTAAGCTATTTTGAATATTTTCTCATTGTTACCACCAACTCCCCATTATAATTCCTTTAAAATACTAGGTTTAATGAAACTAATGTGCGTTGTCTTTATTTTTTTATAGTTGAGAATGGTGAACATTGTGATTTTACAATTCTAAGAAATATGTTGATAAGGTAAGTGTGATCAGTAAAAAAAATGCCAGTTTTGTCTTTCCTTAGAATTGGACAGATGTATTTTTTTATCTTCTATAAATATTGCTAATTTAAATTGGTATTTTCATTCTGGCATTGAAGTAAAACACTGTGTAGAGACAACTTGGTACTTTAGAGTTGTAAACAAAAATGCAGAAGAAGCTGTTTGTGGCTAGGGATATATAGGAAAATGAGTGTCTTTATTATTATATTTTGTGTTGGGCTTATACTAAAAGAAGTCTGGAAAGTAGAAAGAAAAAAACACTTGTTCTTCTATATGAAAAGCTTGGGAAAACTGGAAGGGAAGGCTAGGTTTTGAATCAAAAGCTAGACTTTGAATGTTAAAAGGTACCTAACCTGGTAACTGGTGAGTGGGGTACTTTTTGTACTGGAACACAGTGAACAGAACCAATCTTCCTCCCAGGCCAGAAAACATTACTCCTATAATGTACCTTGTGCACCTGATGAAAGAGAAGAAAAGCCTGTGAGAGCAGAACATTGAGGTAATCTTGACTGGAGGACCAGGGCTTGAATTAGAAAAGCAGCAGCAGAGAGGAAGCATAAAGAAGGAATTTAATACAACTGGAGATGTTAGTGGACAGGGAACAGAAAGGGGCTCACAATGATCAGTGTTTTCATTTTGAGACTGAGTCCTTCCTTTTGCCACCTCATACCCTTTCCCCACTTCTCTATCTTCTTGATTACTTCTCCAGACTCTCACTTTGTATTCTCCTCAACCTCCAGTTTTGAGTTACCATCTAAAATTTAATGTCTATTCATTTTCATACTACTCTCTACTTTCCCAAGAATCTCTTTAGCTATGTGGAAGTAGCAACATACATATTAATGATATTTAGAAACCATGGAAGAACTACAGGGTCATTCTTAAAGTGAAGGGATAAATTTGAGTCAAATGACTACCTCAAGATAGACTAGAGATGAGAGTGAATTGTGAAACCAGAGATTGCCATATAAGTGGTTTTGCATTTTCAGTAATGAAGTACATGATTTGGGTTGATTTAGCAGTTGGGGTTGCCATGCCTCACACAGTGGGACAAGAGTGATTACATATGAAAGGGTTTTTTGAGAATACAATGCCTTTAAGTTGTATTACAAATTGCTTTCAGTTCCAAAGGTGTGACTTCAAAACCAACTGAAATGTGTTATTTTATGATATTATATATGTTGGGAATGTTTCACAAATATTAATTACTCTTGCACTCCCTCAGATTATATTCTTTTCCTAAATTTTGAATCTGTTACTTGCCAAGTGCTTAATACACTGGTATTCTAAAACTTCATATTATGTATTTTTTTAAAATATGCAAGCAGTTACCTTCATACCTAAAATACTATAGAAGTAGAGGCTAGTTATGAGTCATAAACTAATACATAGATACCTACTATGTACTACCTATGGTGAGAATACGAAAGATGATGGCATGTTTCTTGTAAAGGAGTTTTATGATACAAGTGGAAAGGTTATATATGATGTCACTTAAAACATATAACAGTACCAAAAAGTGAATGACAACGAAGAAGATTGTCATAGGGTAGAGAAGCTTGACTTCAAGTCTGGGAAGAGAGCTCCTAGAGCAGTGAAAGTCTTTAAATTTGGAGAGCCAATGACAAATTTGCATGAGTTTTTCAATCCCAGCCAGTCCTGGACATGCTAGGACTAAGGAACTCCCTGCCTGACTGAATTGGAGACTGGTAGAGCTTTAGGTGTAACGGTAGTGATCATAGAAAGGATAAATTCATCAAGAGACAGAGTATAGAGAGATGAGATTTACACAAAACCCAGACTTAGGACTAGAAGGAGTAAAATACCATAGCATTGCATGGAAATGTTAGATAGTAGGAGAGGAATTGAACATGACATTCTGTTCACAAAGAGGAAAGTAGGAATAAATCTTTTCCAGAGATCAGGAAGAATAAAAAAAAGTACATGGTTATTTTTGTCACCAGAAGAGAGTTATGGTAAAATGGTAGACATAGAAGATGGCAGATGGAAAGAATGATGAGGAAGGGAGTATCAAGTGATACAGAGCACTACCATGTCATGTGTATCAAAGAATATGGTATTGATAAAGAATATCCATAGAGCAGCTCAGAGTGTCTTTAGTGTCTTGAACCATAAAGGAGAGGTAAAATTACCTCATATATATTGTATAGTTTATCTCATTTGTATTGACTTTATATATGATAAAAATGCTATGAGCAAAAATTATTATACAAAATACCTCATTAGCTGGACTGTTTGAATAAACTGAACAGTACTCTTAATTTAAAAATTCTGTAGTTTGGATCTAACGTCATAGGTGGTCACAGTTACCCTCAAGTTTAGTAAAAACCCAAATATTGATAATATGCTAAAAGAAAAGCAATTTTTTTAGGTTTTTTAGGTTTTCAGTGGGAGCTAAACATTTTCCCTAGTAAAAGAGATATATACTGTAAGAATGAGTACTTTTCTTCACAAATGTCATCTTTCAGTAACTGTGTTGAGTGTATTTAATAGCTCTCAAATACGCATTTGGAAACTAAATTTCCACTGGGTTACGCTGGCTTATTGTATCTTGCTGTGCCATGAGTGTAAATGAAAACTGACAAATGCCATTTTAAGATTAGTCTTATTGCTTAAGTCTGAAATTTTTGTTTTGATATAACTTGATGCTTATATCAAAATTTTTTGAAATGGAAGCACATTCTTGATATTTATTTATGACAGGACACACATGCAAGACTTGAAAGATGTCACTAATAATGTACACTATGAGAACTACAGAAGCAGAAAACTGGCAGCTGTGACTTACAATGGAGTTGATAATAACAAGAATAAAGGGCAGCTTACTAAGTAAGTATCCATCATTTCCTCAGAAAAGGCATTATGTATGTACTAAATTTTTATCATACTTCTGGCTACTCAATAGAAAACTGAAGAGGAATTCATATTGTTAAGCTTTGTTTTAGCAGTTTTATTTTTTGCTATATAATTATTGGAGAAAGTGTTACCTTGTTTCTAAGCGAAAGAGCCATGTGTTCTTGTCATTTGCCATCATCTTTATAATCTTTAATCTCACATTTAATCATTTGCAATTAGAAACCAAGCAATTCCTCTAGCAGATAGTTTTTTTTAAGAGAACGGTTAATACTAAGATCTCTTAACCCATTTTACTTTTAACACAAACATTTCATAATCTCTTTAAGGAGACTAAACATAGAACTTCTACCTCTTCGTATATCTTTTTAAAATCTTTTGATAGCAGAGTGCTCACTAACAGATTATACAGAAACAGGGAACAGGACTAAATAAACCGAATATTGACACAAATGTTCTCTGGGTACTCTGTGAATTAGCTACACTTTAAATTTCTTCTGTTGATTGACAGGATGGTGTATGTCTTTCAAGTATGAAGCTTCATTTTAACCTAGTGTGTCAAGCTATGATGATTTTATGAAAGGATAGGTATTAGCTGATACAGTTCTTGGTAATAGTGTCTTTGTCTTATTTTACCTTAATTTGAGATTGTTGAAGGTAAGAATGAAAACTTTTAACAATGTGTACACATGTATAGATTGATGTTATTTACCATTAGAGAGTAATTCTGAAGGAACATCTATATTAATAAGAAAGGTTAAGTTCTGAAAGTAGCAGTACAATATAGTGGTCAACATTACTTATAATGGGAAAGAAATGTATTCCTCTTTTTTTTTTTCTAGTTATGTCTTCACAGTGTCCCTAAATTCCAGAAGAAAGCTTACAAAGCATTAACAGTCATTGGCAAAGTCACAAGCAGTTCTCTTTTAAAACTGATCTTAATTCTGTTTCTTTTCTTGCATATTTCCCAAATGGTACTTGGTTCATAACCCCTACTTTATATTTTTAACTTTGAGTTCTGCTTATGTTAATAGCATACTTACTTGAGGTTTTTATCAATCAATTCTTAAGTTTTCTGTTTTCAAGGATTTCTGAGTGTTTGATAAAAAGGTTTTAGCAAAAGATCCTGATTGATTAAATATGGGTTTGTATTTTCATAAGTACCCTAGATAGTTCTAATATGAGTGATTAGTAATGCATGCTTTATAAAACATTGACCTCTAGAAACTTATTACTGTTGTTTTAAAAATTAATCTAGTTAATTGTTGAATATTTTTTATAATTAAAATAAAAGATTCTATTTTGAGTTAAGGCTTTGTATTGTTAAAAAGAAATTGTCCCTGGTTAGTAATTATTTTTTGTCAGTGGTAAGTAGAAAAATATTTTTAAAGATTGAACCAATTGGGAATGACTTTAATTGAAATTGATATTGATAGGATTTATTAAATTGGATTTTTACTACTTTATTGGATAACACATGGTGAATCTAAATGAGGTCACTTGGAAGTTTTATCCTTTGATTGTAAATGTCTTGAAAATGTTGGCAATATCAAAACATTCTAGCTGAATTGAAAAAAAAAATCAGTATCCACAACTAATGGTCCTTTTATTTGAGGTACTTTTATTTGTAGCTAAGGAGCTATTCATGAATAACTGAAAAGAATAGCTAATATTCAAATATGTGAAGTAAGCAAATGTGAATTTGGTCTTCTTATTGATCTATTTTTATTGCTGTGAAGGGATTCTTCCCTCCACAGCACTACATCCTTTGATAATGGTGTCAGGGAGAAATCGAATTTGCAGGGATCCTGAAGTGAAAGAGTCAAAGTCATTAAGCACAAATTGCCAGTACTCTAGCTACCTCACACTGCTCAGAGTATCCCCACATAATTCCAAATAACATGTTTCTAATATGTAACACCATACTTTGCTCTTAATAGAAACATGTTTAGTACTGGGAAATACAGATCATCTGTGAGTTTATGTTTTAGTGCTGTTTTGTCATCTGGAGGTTTCAAACCTTCACCTACAACTGGAACAGTATAGCCTCGGTAAGGAAAAGGTAAGAGGTTGTAAGAGGTCTTTCTTGTAAAGTAAGAGATTAGTTATCTGTAATGAAAATTTTCAGGCAGGTCACTTTAGGCAGGATTTTGTATGGAAGTTGAGAATCTGGAAATTCTCTTAAAACTGCCCATGCTCAGGTAACTCTTGGAAGACTTCATATAGAGACCCCAGTTTGAATGCCAATGAAATAGGCCGTTTCTTTGGTCTTTTTGTCTTGCTTCATATGATCTCTAAATAGCATATGTAGGTATTTTGAGAAAAAAATAAAATTACTGTGTCATTATTCATCTGCTGATTGCTGATGAACCTGTGTTTTTTCATTGCCCTTACACGGTGAATCTAGTCAAAATTTAGTTATATTAACTATATATATATTTAAAACTATATAAATGTAAAAAAATTATATATATGTGCACACACATATATATGGTTACATATATGCACAAACATATATAGTTAACTTTTGTATAACAGTGTGTACTCCACAAAGCACTAATAATACTTTGGTTTTAGAATAGAGATAGTTGGGGGTTTTTTTGGTTTGTTTTAACATTAGGAATTTAATAGTAGATTAGTCAATCTTATATTTAGTTTTCTGAGGGAATTTTGAATAAACTTTTGAGTGTACTGAACTGTGGGTTAAAAATAAAAGTATTTGTTGTCTGAAAATGTGCCTTTTTATTATGTTAGTGATCCTAGAACAATTATATTTTGGAAAAACTTAAAATGAGACTTAGACATCATATTGTACACCTTAAACTTGCACGATTTTGTATGTCAGTTATATCTTATTAAAGTTGGGTAGAGGGGACTCCAAGATAGATGGTTAAAATCTAAAAAAATAGTAAAATTTGTCTCATCAAATACTAATTTATCTTGAGTCAGAGACTGAAAAAATAGAAATTATTGTTAGCAACTATTCAGATATTTATTACCTGAGTCTGGCAAAGAAAATGACAAGTTATCTGTCTAAAGTATTTCTTAAATCCTCAGGTAAAAGAGTGTACTTTATCTACCCCAATCTGAAGGGTAGTAGGTAGTTGGAAGTAATCAAAAGGAACATCAGTTTGCAGATCAAAGAAGATTCAACAGGGATTGTAAAGGAAAGGGGAAAGGAATTAGCTATATCAATATTGTAAGTCCCTGAAAGAAGGAAACTAATTCCCAATAAGCGGAGAGCAAATCTTTTTTGTTCAACCTATATCCCCTTCCTCGGTCTTCCTTGTACTTTTTACTTAAAATTACATTTGATTGATGACTCTTTCTTGGACTGTTTATCATTTGCAACAATTATGATCTTGCTTTAAGTTTTAAGTTATGATCTTCCTTTTAAGTTTGCTCCCTGTTACCTATTTTCCCATATGTTTATTTTTCTGTTTTCTGTAATTATCTGTAGTCTTGGGGAAGCTTTATGGGTAACTGAATCTCTGGAAATGACTAAAAATATGTATCCAGAGGCTGATCCTTAGAACTCTTTTGGTACGTGACAATTTTTACTGATCTAAAGGCAATTTCAAAAAGTTCCCCCCAAATTCAACTTATTTAGTTACATCCTTTCCCCTGCTCAAAGGTCCTTTCATAAAAATATGATAGTAGTTGGAGCATTGATTTGTTTATGTTTGGTTTTAATGCTCTTACTTGGCAAAATAAAATGTTTTGCAACTGTTTCCCAAATTGTTGGAATTCTGTATTGTTCTTTGAAGTCCTTTTTAATGAAATGCCTTTGGAAAATGTTGTATGGAAACTGCTACATGTCTTGTATACATTATAGCCTATCAACCATTGAAGCAAAAGTATGTGCATGTATTCACATAACATGTTCTTCAGGATGGACCACACATAATTTAAATAAACTGTGGTTCCATTACACTAAAAATGTGGGTTGTGTAACAACCTTGTGTGGTCCTTGGTATAATTGTTATTGATCATATGAAAGGGTAAGTCTCTGGTGGCAAAAAGGAGCTATAACCTTTTAAAGAGAACTCTAGAAGGAGTTAAGTTATATGTTTGGAAAAATAGTATGATTTCAGCTTATATTATAGTCTTTTTTCCTTTTTAAATTTTTACCAGGATTTTTCATGTCTTTTAAGTTGCTTTAAATTTCTCAGACAAGTTTATGAACTGTAGCATATCTGTGTGTGGGCGGAAGAGTTTGCAATTAAAAAGCAGGCAGGCAATGATGTAACTTAAATGGTTTTTCCAGTCAGTAAGATCTTATGGGAAAAAATTTTAGGGCCTCCCTGGTGGCGCAGCGGTTGAGCACTGGGTTGCGAAGCTGCCTGCAGCCTCTGCAGCGCTGGTTCGATCCCCCGGCCACCGGGCGAGAGTCCCACATGGCGCGCAGACCTCTCCTGCCACCCGCTGCTCCCCTCAGCAGTGTACTTCGGTCCTTCTGCCTGTTCTGCTCCCTGCTCTGGCTCTGGTGAACTCTCTCACCCTCCTGTGCTTCATGACTGTACCCAGTGGTTGTATAAATAAATAAATAAACAAATAAATAAAAAAAAAATCTTTTAAAAAAAAAAAATAATTTTAAAAGTGACCTTTTGTCTTACGTTTTCTACATTGTGAGCACAATTTTGTATTACAGTTTTCTAAGTATTACTTTAATAAAGATGACTAGAAGTGGGATACTAATTAAATAAAAATTAAAGAGATTTGAAAGATCATTTCAAGAGGCTTCAAAAAAATCCATTTTAGTTATATGTGAACATTTTCTTACAACAGTAGAATGTTAGTGTATTTGGTCCAGGCAATAAGTATTACAAGACCAGAAAACTTAGAGTATCTCAAATGTAAAATATTACAGATTTCTTTTGATGATATATAAATTTAAGTTTAAAGATTTGGATATTCTCTCAGAAGAAAATTTAACATTTTTGTAACAATTCAGTATATATTTAAAGTGATTTCATTGTGTGAACACATTAAAACTGGCCTTTATATAGGCGATGATAAACAAAACAACATGAGATTAAATCAAACATAAGAGGATAATGAAGCTTTCAAAACACAAGCAGCAAGTACAAGGTGTATGAATCTGCTGTGGGCATAAAATGTTAAGGGTGACTATGATGTCACTAGACAAGGAATTTTGGGATCACTGTTAAATGTGGTCCACTGTTGACTGAAAAGTCATTCTGTGGCCCACAACTTCAGTGATATTACAAACAATTCTGGAAAGAAACTACGTAGCTTTAACAAATTTTGTCATAAATTTATTTATGGCATATACCTTAATTATTTGTGAAATCTGTGAGTTTGCCTTTAATTGCTGCTTTTAGTGTGGTTTACATTAAGTGTACTTAAACACACAGTTGACATGTCATCAGGGTAATCATTCACTAGGTGTAAGGCTTCCAAATTTAAAACATCTTCCCTGAAGATGAGAAGGATCACATTGGCATTGAGTGAAATAATAATATTTACACTTAAAAATTTGTTATTTCAGTTGACCTTACTTTTTGAATGCAGGTTATTGTTAGTTTGTTTTAGTTTCATTTTCAGAACTTCTAATTAATTGCTTGTTAACATATATTGCAGGTTTGTGAGTTTTCTTTTGGTAAAGAAATACCCTGTACTATATATACCATGGAATATTACTCAGCATTCAAAAAAGATAAACACATGCAATTTGCAGCAACATGGATGGCGCTGGAAGGGATCATGCTCAGTGAAATAAGCCAGAAAGAAAAAGAAAAATACCGGATGGTCTCACTCATAGCAGGAATCTAGAAAACTTAAATAAGAGACCAGGAAAATGAATAACTATGAGAAAGTGAAAATCAAAATCAACAAAAATCTATGAGCCAGAAACACTTTTGGGGGGGTGGGTGGAGGGAGGGGAGGGATTGGGGTCAAAATGGGGGGGTTGAAATTGTATGGGGAATATAAAAATAAAATTTATTATAAAAAAAAAAAAAGAAATACCCTGTACTTAAATTTGATCACAGCAGTACAACTCATCTTTGTCCTTCCTTTTTGCTAAGAAAAATTGGTAGCTAGTGTTGCTGTCCTTTAGCTTTTATTTACTATTTCCATCAAGTTCTCTTGCCCTCTTAGATAGAAAGAAAGGTGCTGTAATGATTAAAAATAACCTAATAAAAAGAGAAGTCACTATCATCTGTATGTCAAATCAGGGTTAAAATGATAGCCTTTGAAGTTCATGAACAGAGTCAAAAAAGGAGCCTGCTTCTTTTTAAGTTGTGTTGAGTAGTTTTCAGAGATTCTCAAAGCCAGTTCATTTTTCATTCCTTCCTGGGGCAGTAGTAGCTACTAATACTTTAGCATTCGCTAATGTCTTTAAGTACAGTAACCTTAACATGACTCATTTGTAATATTTTCAACATTTTCAAAATTTGTTAAAATGAAAATGAACTACCTTTAGGGTCTGCTTGTGTTTACTTTCTGGTGTTTCAAAAATAATTGCCAAAACATTTATCTGTTTCTGATTCTTGTTCATATATATATATATATATATATATATATCACTAAACTTCTTTAAAAATTAAAACAGTAAAATATTTAAGAGGTGTGAATTTTCAAGAGTGGTGAAACTACCATAAGTAGCCAAGAAATATTTTGTATACCTAAATGAAGAGTGTTCTAGATATTGACTGATAGTCATTTCTAGCATATCAGTTCAGTTACCTAAATAAGTTTGATTTATTGATAGTATAATTGTAATTTATTTATTCTCCTAAATAGATTGTCCTATAAGTTGTCCTAAAAGGAGAAAATATAATTTGGAATTTTTATCAAACTAAAGATAGTCTACTGATGGAAAACTTTATTAGCCTACTGATAGAAAATTTATTGACTTTAACAATTTATCAGTTTAGCAGCATCCCATCTAACAGATAGAAAGGAGCTCTGCAGAGCTGTTCAAAATGAAAGACTATTATAATTATAGGCAGAAGGGTGGATACAACAGGAAATTATACTAGCAAATAACATTATTTGTGGCAAGGCCACCTTCCTTCAGGGAATGGTAGGGGTCTATCAAGGCAAATTACCTTACTAGTACTAGCCAGGTAATTCCACATTGACTAGTTTAAGATTTCTTCTTAAACTTGAAAAATCTGACATTAAGAAGTCAAAACTGATTAAATTAGGTATTAAAGCTCAATTTGGTGGGACTCAATTTGGACCTTAGCACAAATGATTCCAGTTTGGGCTTTTGTCTCTTTTTCCTTAACAGCATTTATATTAACTTTGTTCCTCCCCCCCCCCCATTAAATTTTGTTGAAAGTGCAAAATTGAGTAAATTTCTATTTTTACACTTTATGAATATATTTTGGGAATGTTTCATTCTATTTTCCTTCTATCGTTTATTGTATGTGTTTTCTTTAGATTTGATATGCATTAAGTTTAGAGAAACATCCTGCTACTGGTTGCCTTTGTTATTTAGTCTGTTTTCATAATATTCACTAGAAATTTAAGTGTAGATTTGAAACTTCATAGAAGTTTTTATTATAAATATTTATAAATTTTGAAGTAACTAATTATATAAAAATGTGTATAATGTGTAATTATATAAATGTTTATAGAATAAAATGTCAAATTTGTTTTGTCATCTAAGATGGTAGCCAAATAATTAAATCATTTCGAAAATTATTTTCAAAAAAAAAGCAGAGAATTTAATAATAACATGTAGCATCTCATTTTCATCATGTTTTAAGAGTTTTGTATAATAGATGGCTAATGATGTCCTTAATGTTCACACCAGGAGCCCTCTTGCACAAATGGAAGAAGAAAGAAGAGAGCATGTGGCTAAGATGAAGAAGATGGAAATGGAAATGGAGCAGGTGTTTGAGATGAAGGTCAAAGAAAAAGTTCAGAAACTGAAGGACTCTGAAGCTGAGGTAAATCAACTTAAGAGTTCTACCTCTAATAGACACAATGTTCCTTTTTGAAATGATAAAGATCTTTAATAAGATCATAAATAATACTACCTCTTACTCATTTTTTCTAATATAATACACTTATAAAATGGATAAATAAAAGCAAGTGCTTGTTTATAATAAAGTGATGTGTACTTCAATATGTAAATGTTTGTACACAGGTATACTTGGTAGGAAGACATAATAGCTCGAATATTTATAATAAATTACTACTTTTGATGAGCAAGTTAAGAAAAATAGAATCATAAGTTCTTGCATATATAGTGTATAAGAAAAGTAATGATCAGAACTTGGATGGATTAAGAGTAAAGACTGGTGGGTGCTAGTATAGTAATAGGTCAAAATTATTTGAATATGAATGAGAAAGAACATTTAATTGAACTAAGGACATGCTAGGATAAATAGGCAGTCAAAGGGGGAGAAAATGAATTGGTCTTATTTGCAATATAGTGTCAAGTAATTCTCAATATTACAGCATTGGGTAGGATAATGAAAAAGCATCCCAATAATATGAAATATTTTATAGTAAATATTTTATATTATATATTTTATATTAAAAGAATATCTTAAATATTTTATATTAAAACAATGTTTAAAGATAAAATTGAGTGAGATCTGTGTTATGTGGCTCCCCATATAAAAATATTTGTATCTAAATAAAGTGAGATTCAGATGTTTGTTAATCCTCATTTGAGCTCACTGCTTTTGTAATTACTACATAAAATACTGAAACCCTCTTTAACCAGAAGTATTTATGTAACCAAAAGTATTCTAATCATTGAGTTGCTAGAATATATGGAGAGAGTAAACTAGTCAGTAATTTTGAGGAAATTTTTCTATTCCATATTAGATTTTTTTTAATTACTTAGCTTTTCATATAGTCTCTTACAAAAAAAAAAAATGAGAGCTATACTGTTTTATTTGTGATATGCTTAATTCAGCAGGGTATGAAATTATCCTCCTGGTTTGAGATTGCCAAGCAGGACTAGTATTCCATTTGGAGATTTAATTTAGTCTTTTTTTACTATTAGCATGTTATTAAATCTGTCTATTTGCATCTGTACCCCTTCCCTAATTAATAAATAATCTGGAAGATACAGATCAGAAGGGAAATTAAAAACATGATTAATCAAGGCTCTGCATTATCTCCATACTTACATTCCATTGAAAATCTAAAAGTTGAATTTATATTGGGTATAGACATATCCATGCTCCTAAGAGTAAATGATATAACAAATAATTATGAACCTATAGCCAAAGAATTCTTTAAGCATTTTTATGATTATTGGGAGTCGTGAAAACAGAATTTTGAGTAACTTAATTAACCCTTTGAAAGGTGGAATCTTTCTTACCATTGAAGGAACTATAAAGGGCACTAAGTTTCCTCTCTTATAAGCCATGTAACTATATCGGTGAAGAAGCCTATTTGGTCTTTTTTAATAGTTTTTTCCCAAATTAATTTGTGTTATTAATATTTGTATGAGGAAGAGCTGCTAATAGCAAGCTGCACAGTACATCAGTCACCGTGCTAAGTAAGCTTCTTTCACATATTGCTATTTAATTCACACTGCAGCCTGTGAGGTAGTTGTTTTTGGCTATCCCTTTTTCACATGAGATGAAAAATAAATTGGATCTGGTCAATAGGTAGACACTCCTAATTGAACTCATTTAACTCTTTGTTTGCTCTTAAGTTATCACACAAGTCCACAATCATGTATCCACAATTTCAAATACTAAAAAGCTCTGAAAACTGAAAACTTGTACATGAACTAATAGCGTTTGGCCCACATGAGGTGAACATTTTACTGCAAAAAATAGTAATGTGTTTAATTATAAATGCCAGCTAGATAGCTCAAAAGATATTTTGTAAAGAGAATCTATAAACCTTTCTACGCAGTATCACCCTTCTAAAATACAAAGAATTCTGAACTGCAAGAGGTTTTTGAGAGCTAAGGATTGTGACCTGTATTTTTTACTGCATTCAATTAATGTAAAAAATACATGTGTAAAAAATTATGACCACCTGTCAACCTACTGCCCACCTTAAATAAAACTTCTTCAGTTCAATTGAGGCTCCTGTATGCTTTTGCCCTGTTGTATCCTCTCCTGTTACGTATGATTACCTGGCTTTTTTTTTTTTTTTTTAAGATTTATTTATTTATACAAGAACTGGGGCACAGGCCAGAGGCGTAGGAAGGCAAGAGAATTTACCAGAGACAAAGTGGGGTGCCGAACAGGCAGACAAACTGAAAACGCCGCTGAGGGGAGCAGCGGGCGAGACAGGAGAGGTCTGCCGTGCTGTGTAGGTTTCTCCCTGGCCGGCCGGAACCCGCGCTGCAGAGGCTGTGGACAGCTCCACAGTGCTGCACTCAACCTGCTGCAGCTCAACCCGCTGCGCCACCGGGGAGGCCCTCGCATTTTTTTTTTTTAATAGCACATTTTTCTGTGCTTCTATTTTTTAATTTTTTAAAGTAGCTTTTGTGCTACCAGGAATTTGTCTCAAATTTGACTCATGTTTTCTTATGTTTGTCTTAGATTGCTTCATTTTGTAGGAATTGCACGAAATATTTGCAATAAGAATGAATATAAAGTCACTTTTTTGTGATTTTATAGAACTAGTGAGAAAAGATTGTATGCAAAAGTATTATTACAGTCCAAATTCAAGATGTAATATGATCTTTAATAGAACTAATTCCCGGTCACTTGAAGATTTTCAATAGTTCTTAGATATTTAATGTAGTGAGGTTTAATCTGATTATTTTTAATTTGTAAGACTGTTTTCTTCAGAAATAGATTGACTAGTGCCTAAATGAAATTATTCAATGAGTCATTAAATAAGCTCTTTGTTTCTGTGTTACTTTGCATGAGTGTTTTCCCACCTCTCAGCCAGCATTTTATACAGCATGGTCACTATGTGAGAAGAGCCACCTGCATTAGAATCACTGTGCTTGTTGAAAATGCAGTTTCTAGACTTACCACTTAAAAATTGTAATTCAGCATGTCTGGGTGAAGTGAAGGATTCTGTATTCCTAACAAACATTTCAAGTGATTTGTATGAAAATTAATCTTTGAGAACCACTGTTTTATAAAAACAGGAGTCCTTACTTTGTTCCTGGAACTCTTTAGGTCCTTATCTTCCTGCTTTCTTTCCACTTGTCTCAGCTCTCTGAAGTTGAAATTAGGAGACAAGTTCAAATCCCTGGTTCTGCCACTTTCTGGCTAATCATCTCTACAACTGTTTCTTCTATACAGAGAGAGCAGTGGTTCCTCCCCACCCACACACACACCCCCACCAGCTTCCTACATGGCTGCTTGTGAATAAAGAAAAAAGATAAGTTAAGAAATGTCCATTATAAAGTGCTATACAACTGTAAGCTTGTACTTTTTCTTCCTATTTCCCAAGATTATCTCTTGGGAACTTACTCTCACTGATCTCTCAGGTAGCAGTTCCTATAAAAGGAGGAATCCTATGTGGTGCTTTCCAGGTTATGCTGTTAAAAATTAGGATTCCTGGATCAAATGTACTTCTGCTTCTGATTACTTAAACAGTTTTATTTTATATATTATGCTGTGACTTAGCTCCAGCGGCGCCATGAGCAAATGAAAAAGAATTTGGAAGCACAACACAAAGAATTAGAAGAAAAACGCCGTCAGTTTGAAGATGAGAAAGCAAACTGGGAAGCTCAACAACGTATTTTAGAACAACAGAACTCTTCAAGGTAATATCAGACTCCAAAAAATGTGCATATATAAGTATAAATAATTTCAAGATTTATTTTCCTACTTTAAAAACATTAAAGTGGCATTGTAGAAGACACTACTTATAAGACACAGAAACAATCTGAGTACGCACTGATGGGTATTAGAGTCAGAAGATGTGGCATCCATACAATGAAATACTAGTCATCGGGAAAGACAAAACATTGTCATTTACAACAACAAAAAAATGGAGTTTGAGGGAATCTTGTGTAGTAAAACAAATCAGAATAACAAACTTATATTGGGCATTTACAAAGCAGACAATTCAACAAAGTAAAATACTTATAAAAAATAGAGGATGCAATAAATGAAGTGAGGCTTCTGAGGTAAAAAAGAAGGGAGAAAAGAGAAAGGTCAAAGAGGATTAAGAAATGATGGTAGAAAAAAATGGGAAAAGGTATAAGTGCAATAATATCCATGAAACTAAATAAATAGAGTAAAGATACCACCATTTTCAAGTATCTCAATTATTTTCATGGATGAAAATTTTTATATTGATAGATATGGTCTAACTGTAACAGTATTTTTTGCTACAAACATTTTCCATGAAATAACAATCTTCATAATTATATAGTGTTAACAGTTTCATTACATTGTCCCAGTGGATTTCGTTTCTTATCCTCTTTATGTTGTACATATTGGTTGTGTTCAATTTTTAGTAAGCATATAAAGCATTACTTACAAAGATTTTTTTAATACATTTAGGACTATGTTTTAATTGTCTTGGATTTATTTATTTGCAATAAAATTTTGGATATCTAATCCCTAATACAGCTGGTAGGTTTCTTAATTTTTACAAGACTCAGTAATATTTGCACCTTGGTTTTCTTTTCTCCCATTTAAATAAGAAAAGTTGAATCCCTACAAGAATTCTACACTTTCAAGATTAGACATTTGTTCTGTAACATTTCCTTCCAATAACTTTTTCCTTATGTAGGAGGAAAATATATTTCTAAAAAAAAAAATGAAATGCGTTGCAGAATGCAAATGTTCATAGGAGAAAAGGCTACTCTGGTTGATATCAGTTGATCATTTTTATTTTGCACTGTTTCATTTGGGAAGAATTATTCTTATATGTCAAATAATAGGTTTTTGTCATAGTTATTACTTCTTATCCTGGAATTTTGTCAGATATTCAGTATTTTAAATGAAACTGTGTAGCGTTTGAAAATCAAACACAGTTGTAGTTGAGTTAGCTGTTGCTGTCATTTGTTGTTTATAATGTCATTTTGATTATTTTCCCTTTAATCATTTAGAACCTTGGAGAAGAACAAGAAGAAAGGGAAGATCTTTTAAACCCTCTAGTGACCACCAGTTACGTATTAGTTTGCCAATATGCCAGCCTGGACATCAGTGTTTGTTGGATCCGTTTGACCAATTTGCACCAGTTTTATCCATAATGATGGATTTAACATTAACAGCATGACAAAATTTTTTTGTTGTTGTTCTTGATGGAAATTAAGATGCCTTTAATTGTATAGGGTGTTGTGTACTTAGAAACTAACAGCTCTAAGTACCTTTCCTACATTTTTCTTTTTTTTATTAAACAGATGTCTTCAATTTAATGCAAGAAAACATTTTACTGTTGTACAATCATGTTCTGGTGGTTTGATTGTTTACAGGATATTCCAAAATAAAAGGACTCTGGAAGGTTTTCATTGAGGATAAATTGCCATAATATGATGCAAAACTATGCTTCTCTCTGATAAATATAATACAAAGGTTCCATTCAATGCAGCGTATACAATAATGTAATTTAGTCTAACACAGTTGACCCTATTTTTTGACACTTCCATTGTTTAAAAATACACATGGAAAAAAAAACCTATATGCTTACAGTGCACCTAGAGCTTTTTTATAACAACCTTTTTTTGTTTGTTTGTTTCAGATTCTTTAAACTTATATTATTCTCATTTAGTGCCCTCTTTAGCCAGAATCTCATTACTGCTTCATTTTTGTGATAACATTTAATTTAGGTATTTTCCATATATTGGCCCTGCTAAAATAGAATATAGCATCTTTCATATGGTAGGAACCAACAAAGAAACTTTTCTTTAATTCCCTTTTTACATTTTATGGTAAGTAGCAGGGGGAAAAATGCATTTATAGGTCATTTCTAGGCAAAATTGTAAAGCTAACGACCAACCTGTTTCTACCTATGTGCAGTCTCTTTATTTTACTAGAAACGGGAATCATGGCCTCTTAAAAAGAAAAAAGTCACCATTCTGCATTTAGCTGTATTCATATATTGCATTTCTGTATTTTTTTGTTTGTATTGTAAAAAATTCACATAATAAACAATGTTGTGATGTAACGGAGTGTGGGGTCTTAAATATCTAAGTTGATATACAAGACTAGAATATATATTTGGGAAGAAACTTTTTAGCTAAATTTTCCTTCTCCGTGATTTAATTCTTTTCTCTTGTATGTCTGTTTCATTTAGAATGCTTATATGCACATTTTCTAATGTATAATTATTGCAGCCCAGTTCATCACTTCAAAGTTTCACCATGTCATCTTAAAGAAATGATCCAAGCAGAAAGGAAGTAAATAATCATTACAGTTAGCCAATGTTTTTGTTTACTTCTATGGCTCAATGATTTAAAATACATCAGTATGCTTGAAAGATTTATTGCTTCTCAAAAAATACATGAATCTAAAATGTAAAACATATATTAGGAAGATAATTCATATTGTAGAGTCTTGGCTTTACATATAAGTTAACCCCTTTACATATAAGGGTACTAGTTTTAAAGTAGATTTCATGGGACCTTAAAAACATTCACAATACTACAATAAACATTTGTCTTTATTTAATGGCCTTCACTAGTTAAATACTATCTTGGAAAAGTTTTATTAATCCTAAAATACTGGGCCTCCCCATTGGCGCAAGGGGTTAAGACACAGCTTATGAAGCTATCAGCAGCCACTGCAGCACAAGTTTGATCCCTACCCACGTGGCCCAGCAGACCTCTCCTGACTCGCCCGCTGCTCCCCTCGGCAGTGTATTTCAGTCAGTCTGCCTGTTCTGTTCCCCACTCTGTCTCTGGTGAATCCTCTCACCCTCCACACCTCTGGCCTGTACCCCAGTTCTTGTATGCATAAATAAATCTTTTTTAAAAATCCTAAAATACCTTCTGCTATTGGAGAGCATAACAAGCTGTGAATTGCTTTTTAAAAAGCAGTTGGCTTTATTCTAAGATCTAGAATCAAATGATCAGTAACAGCTATAAGCAGGTATGTAGGGGCGAGTGGGAAGTGATGTTTTACTTCTTGCATTGAGAGATTGGATTAACAACTCTTTTAACCAGAAAAGTTTGACTTTAGGGAATTAAGAAAAACCTACTGAATTTGAAGAATGCAAAATGAAAATGTTTTTGTAGGCCCCTTGGCTAAATGGTGAAGTACTACTGATTCTAGAAATGGTTCTCATAGCTACCATTTAAAATTTCTATGTATTATGATTTTTTTTTTAAAAGATTTATTTATACAAGCACTAGGTACAGTCAGAAGCGCGGGAGGGTGAGAGAATTCACCAGAGCCAGAGCGGGAAACAGAACAGACAGAGTGATGAAATACACTGCTGAGGGGAGCAGCGGGCGCGGCAGGAGAGGTCTGTCATGCCATGTGGGACCTTTGCCAGCGACCGGGGATCGAACTGGTGCTGCAGAGGCTGCAGGCAGCTTCGCAGCCCAGCGCTCAACTGCTGCACCACCAGGGGAGGCCCACCAACTATTATGATTTTTGAGCCACCTTTATTCTTACACCTTAGTGAAAACTTTGTCTTTATCTGTGTCAGGCCCAGGTTTTTATCTGAATGTGATACAGGATCTGTACAACTTTACTGGATCCTTTGAGTGTTGACTCCAGACTTGTCAAGCATGCTGACGGTTACTTTTGCTACATGACCTGTGGATTGCATGTGATCATTTTTTTATGTGGTCATTCACATTATATGTAACATTCTGGAAGACTTAAGAAAAGGTAAGCTTGTTAAAAGCAAAATGGGCATTACCTAGTCTCCATTATCAGAGGCATTGTATAATGAAAGTAACTCTTTAATCACTTCTAATTAAGCAAGGTTGACCAAGTAAACACTAATCTCAGAAAAGGTATTTGGGCAATCCATGATAAAGTTTTACCGCCACCTAGTGGAATGAGATCTAATTGTTTATCAAGTTCACAAGTAACAGGAAGTGGATGGTGAATGGCACATAAGGTTAATTTCTGTATAGTTCAGGCTATATAATCTTAAGGGCTGAGAGAGTCCTGCTTCTTAGACTCATTAACTGTGCTCACACTACCACCTGCACATTGACACCCGTATCTTTCATGCCTTTTATCCTCTTCAAGAAACTGACCTAGGAATAGAGGTTGGGGTATATAGTAGGTAAGAAAGAAAAAAGTATAAGGTGCTCTGATAATGTAACAGAGCAAAATGTTTATTGAATTAGCAAGTCATCTAGATCACCCACTCTAAACCTGATCACATTTCCTTATTAAAATGTTTGAACATGTATCCCTAATTATCAAATAAATTATATAATTAACAACTGTTAATATTGAAACACAATTTTAAAGAGGAAAGAAAGGTTTAGCACTCTTCCCAGGCCATTTATCTAACCCATTCTACTTTGGATGCCAGTGATCTAGTAGTATGTAGATGATTAATACTCGATTATTCTTGAGGGCCCAAGGAAGTTTTAGTGAAGACTGCCACTCTAGTAAATTGGGACCTTTTTATAGTAAAAAGCTTGCAAATGTAACCATCTACCCCAACGTATTTCCCCTGACCCTTTAAAATAGTAATTCATGTTTTAAATAGTTACATTATAAGCAGTAAGCGAAATAGTAAACATTATCCACACTTACTCATAGGTAGCAGTATTCATCCTTTCATATATGTGGAAATAGGTTTGGAGATGTTTAGTGACTTACACAGTAGATTGGTGGTAACTGGAAGAACTATAGTGTGAGCCCATCTTGGTGACACCTGAGCCTGTGTGCCTCAATCTTATGCTATGTGACCCCCTGGTGTGTACTACCACGCTTGCAAAGTGTTGTCACCACGCAGCCTGGAGAAGGAAACAGTGAACACACCATTTACATTCAAATACCAGAGTCTGTGAATTGAGGATGTTACTTTTCCTTTCAGAATGTTTTTTCAGCTCTAAAATAGGGCCCATCCTTATTTTGTGGTGAGGATTACACTGACTGTAATGTGTGACTGTGCATATGAAAGTGCCTGGTCCTGAGGAGATTGTCCTTGAATGTTGGTGGCAGTAGTGATGCCAGGGCCATGACTGACCAAGAGTATTGATTTTCCTCAGTTTTCAGTGGTGGTTCATTTGCAGTGTCTTTGTGCTCTGATAGGACCCTACACCTGCTTCTTAGTACCCAGAGATGACCTTTTGGAGTTAGAAAATGCAGTATGTGTTCAATAGTACAGCACACCGTGGAAATAAGCTAGTTTCGGTGAAGAGAATTTTTAATGGGAGTTGTAAAATACATAATTCTTTGCAAGTAATGTTGAAATGGTCTATCAGAGTAATCACATCTTTGGTGAAAGCATTGCTGCTTTTCAAGCAAACTTGGTTCCCATGATTTGGGATTAATCCATAGAATGTTCAAAGTTTAGTGTCAGCTGTTTTCAGCAGAAAATGGGGTCTGACAATTTCCTGTGTTCTTTAGAAGTCTTTCAAAGCTTCACAGGAAGAATGAAGACTATTCTTGCCCTGAATGTTTGCCCCATGGGGTGCTGGGTCCAGCCAAGCAGCCTTGTATTTGCAAAGGAGAGTCAAGTGAAAAGGAGACCTTGTTCTGTGCCAGACTCTCAAAGGGTAGCCTGAGACCCCATGGGCCACACAGAACCACTGTTTTAGAGGCAGTGTTTGTGGATCTGCTGAAATTTAGTGCCGCATAGGCTTTCTGAATTCCTCTGGGATTGGGAGAGGGCGTAGTCAACACCTCTGAGAGCAGAAATCTGTGGAAATGTGGCATAAGATGGGGAAATATAAGGAGAATGGTAAGGCATTGCCAGCAAATGCCTTGTTTTTTTTGTTCTCTCTTCATAGTGGAGCCCAGCTTTTCCTAGCCTCCAGGCATGTTGCAAGGAACAGCATTTTCAACCTGAATAGTTACAAGGTAATAGCAGGCCACAGAATCCCCATGGGTGAGAGACTGGCTCTCACTCAAGTATGGATGACTGATCTAACTTGATCTAACAAGTGTTTACAACTTTTCTTCCTCTTACTCCTTTGTGTTTAAATTTCACCGGTCTCTGTCCTATTTAAATATATGCTTTGCTCAGTTCCAGGCACAGAAAAGTTTCTGTACTTTGGGTAACCAGTAATTCAAGCAACTTGGTGAAGATCCTTGTCAGAATGGGAGCCATGACACAGATCCAGGTGTTAATGTGAGCTCTTCCCCCTGTATTTCGGAAGTTAAGGAACATATGTTTTGTCTGATTGAAAGTGGGGGAAGCTGCCAATTTGTTCCCTAGGGATAAATCTCATAATCTTGTGGCTATGCAAATCTATGGCTTAACTTGGTTTACTTTAAAGAAAAAAACCTAATGTAATATTTCAGGAACACAGTTCTTTGACTCAGATATTAAAATCCTCCTTAGACGTGGTTGCTAAGTAGAGATACTAGGAACCCAAATTGTTATTTCTGGAACTTCTACTTCATCAGTGCCTAATTAGATCCTATCCCTCAGTCAGGTGCCTGGAATGTGCAGTAGAGGCCACTGATGCAAGTTCATCTTCTGTGATCTCTTCAGATGGGACTGGCCTGGTTACACCTCAAGTCCTGAAATGAAGTTATTTTTTTTCTCCAACTTGTACTAGGAGAACTGATAAACTCATTCTACCAAATGTGAATATTCAGCAGTATTCAAACGGGGAAGACTGTTTATCAAGGGAGAGAACTCACTTGAAAATCTGAGGGGAGGGACTCTTAGTGGAGAAAGTGCAGCAACCATCTGAGAGCTTTACTAGGGCTGGGGGACCTGATTCCAAGATCTGTCACTCAGATCACCTGCACGTTGCTGCCTGAGACCTCAGTCCCTCCCTTGCCCCATGGACCTTTCCACTGGGCTGCTTCAGTGTCCTGATAACCATGGCTGGCCTCCCAGAGCCAGTGACCCAAGAGAGAGCAAGGCGCAAGCCATAATGCATTTTATGACCTAACTTTGGGTGTCACACAATGTGATTTTTTGCAACATGCTATTTATTCCTGATATAGCTCAATCCTGGTCAGCAAGGGAGACTGCTGTACAGGAGCTATAGTACTGAACACTGCTACCACATTTTATTTATTTTCTGGTCAATGGTTTTTCCATTTTACAAATAATGCTGCAGTACATATTTTGGTATGTATCTTTTTGTCCAGACATATAAAGCTCATGCAGATTTGTGTATCAATATGGAACAACACCAGCAAACCTGTGATTTTTAGCTGTTAAGGAGTCAGGGAGCCATCATGCAAAATGTCTTATCCCTCCCCACTTCCTACTCAGACCAGATGTCCCCACAGCCTCATACATGGCCTCAGTTAACTCTAGACTTATGTCTTTACAGTGTCATGGTCAGAGAAGAAAGCAGGATCTCTCTCCTTGGAGTTTGAAAAACCTCAGGGAAGAATTGCAACAGGCCCAGTGTGGTGAGTGGTATAGGCATAGCTACTGAGAGAGCCACTGTGAGCTAGGCAACAGTCCTGCTCCCCTGCAAAACTGCACCCTAGGGATTGTGTGTATATGTACCAATTCTACAGCCAAATTGGACTATTGAAAGATTTCAGTTTATTATCACCCACACTCACTACTGTGGTCCTAAAGGTGGACCATCCCAGGGCTTAGCCTGTGTTGGCTATTGTAAAGCTTTGCCAGGCCTGCAGCCCTCTTCTCCACATCCCAAGAGCCCTTGAGCTTTTTTCTACCCCTTTCCCTCCCTCCTTGCTGCCTACCTTGGATGTGAGTTGACACTGGTCCCTATTTCATGGGTCATGACAGATGCGAAGCTCATACAATGCCAGCATCACCAACCCAGGGCTGTCATCCCACTGATAGCCCCAATAGGTTGTCATGCTCGCTCTCCATTTGTAGATTTCTAATCTTTTTTCTTCTGACTTTCAATTCTGACATAAATTAAAATGTCTAAAAGGTTGCCCAAAATGTATTCTTTTCTGAATCATTTTTGAGTCATTTGCTCCCCTCTTCCCTTAACATTAAGTACTTAGATGTGTCCTACAAACAAGAAAATTATCATATAATAACAGTACAGTAATCAAAAATTGATGAAATTAAATGAAACAGTAATAAAACTTAAAAACATTACAGATTTTTATTACCTTCAACTATATGGTTATGAATTAGTATTTATATACATTGCATTTTGCATTATGGACCAAAATCCCCAATTCAGGCTGTTGTGCCTTAATTTTCTTCAAATATATTTAAAAGAAATCATCTTAGAATCCCTGGGCATGAATCCCTTCAATACCAATAAATCTTGTGAGTCGATTGGATTGAATCAGTGGCAGTGTTGATGCCAGTCTAGTGTCCAGGTGCCCTGTTCATCTTTCTCCTTTGTAGGGCAGACTCATTCTTTGCCACTAATTTGTTGAGTCATTCATTCATTCATTCATTCAATCTGACCACCTTTGAGCACCGGTCTCATCCACAGAACAGCGGGAGGGAGTTGTGGTGTGGGAGCTGGTTACATGTGTCAGGTCTGTGCAGGCCACATGCCTCAGAGAAACTACCCCAAAGCATCCTAAGGGGACACTTGGTGCAGGGCCACAGTCAGAAAATTGGGTGTGGTCAACGTACTCTAGTTTGAGGGTGCATACTGAATGATGCATCAAGTTGCCCTCTCCTGTGTCCCAGGTGGCACTAGGCCCTCCTTGTCCCTAGGGTGTCAACTGCTGCCCACAGAAACTCCGGCTAGCTGATGGGTGAGACCAGAATCCCGCTGTTAACCCCCAGGGTTCTGAGGTAAATTTGCTGGAGGAAGTGGCCCCAGGCCAGCCCACGTCTGTGCAGATATAGGGGGCTCCCCTGCTCCCCTTGGTGACCAGAGTTCAGCTGCCCACACAACTCTGCACTCATCCATCCCCATCCTTCTGGGGTCCCCTTTCTCTTGGGGTCAAGTGTGACTGGAATCTGCGGGACATCTGCCTTACTCCCAGGGGACCACCTCTCCAGCATTTTGGGTACTGGAGGAAGGTGGCAGCATCCCCTCTATAGGCAGGTCCCCGACCAGGGGACTTCCCCCGGGTAGGCTGCCCACGGGTTCCAGCCCAGCAATAGTAAGATTTTATTTTGTTGAGAAATGCTTCAGGGCCTATTCTTTTTATTTAGGAAGAGTTTTAAAAATATTACAGAAGTCACTTTAAACTGGAAACAGCATCACAACCAAACATGAAAGCATTTACAGTTTGGCAGTTTCTCAAAAGGATAAACATAGAATTACCATATGACCTAGCAATTCCACTTCTGGCATTTCCCCAAAAGTAGTGAAAGAAGGAACTTAAACAGATATTTGCACACCGTGTTCATTTTGTCGCTATTCACAGAGTCAAAAGGTAAAGGCACCCCAAGTTCCATTGAGAGGATGAAAGGATAAAATATTCTGTATCCATGCAAGAGGAAATTATTCAGCCTTAAAAAGGGAGGACATCTGACACATACTAAGTGTAAAGTTAGACACAAAGGACAGATGTGTTATAATTTATATGAAATATCTGGAATAGGCACATAGAGACAGGAGATTAAAGGTGACCAAGGTCTAGGAGGAGGGGAAACAGGCAGTTGTTATTTAATGATTGCAGAGTTTCTGTTTGGGATGTTGAAAATTTTTGAAAGTAGATGATGTTGATGGCGGCACTATTGTATGAATGTAATTAATGTTACATTAATTGTACACTTAAAATGGTTAAAATAGCAACTTTTATGCTATATACATTTTATATTTTTTAAAATAGTAAAAAAGAAGAATGAAAAAAGGAAAAGAAAACATTGAGTCTACCTCTCTAGCCACCCAGTTCCCTGAGGCCAGGGGCAGTCAGCAACTTAACTGGAGTCTGGCATCATGGGAAAGCTTGAGTCCTCAATGTTGTACTTACAGTTTTAAATTTGAATTACAGGCTGGGGAGTTCATCTCCAGCCTCTTCAAATCTTTATCTCACCCTGCCCAGCCTACCTGGTGACTGGTTTTCTCCCAGTAATTCCCACTCCCTCTTTGGAAGCCTGCCCATCAAGGAGAGAAGGTTCCCAGGAAGGGCCAGGAAAGAGGGAGGAAGGAAACTTCAACTTGCAACATGCAATTAGCTGTCGGGGTGAACGGCAGGCAGCCAGAGAGCCCAGTGGAACACTTAAGAGGGAGAGGCTGGCCTGGGAGGAGCGGAGTCTGCCTACAGGGAAGGATGGTCATTCAAGCAGTGCCCATTTTGCAATGATCAAGGACATCAGCTCCCTGGTGCTATGGAGAAGGAAACAGGCCTCTCCTTGGAGAGGTGAAAAGTGAGGCAGTGACCACACGACATCCTCTATGGATGGGGGAACCTCTCTGGAAAAAGGGTTTGACAGGCATGCGTGTGTGCCTCCTGGAGTGGTGCCAGCCAGCACAGGGTGGGCCTTCATGGGCTGATTTTGGCCACTTAAAAACCTATTCACATTTCCTGGCAGGTGGGCTTCCCCATCCTGATGTCCCTGATCACCTCTCTGAAGAGGATCAAGTGGAAGGGGGCAAGTGTGGGCCAGGACTCCGCCTTGTGAGAGCTGGGAACACAACTCCCAGTGGGCACCAGAGGGCAGCACTGCCCCAGAGTCAGGCTCTTTCCAGAGGAACCCTTGCTGATTTCAGCAACTGTGGTGGCAGTAAATTCCTGGAGCTATAATAACAGATTTTGTTTTGTTTTTTAATTTTAAAAAGTAAAATGTGTTTTAAGGGCTATGAACTTGGCAAAGGTTCTTATAGCAGCAAATGGAAAAACTTGGTCTGAGGAAAAAGCATGAAAACAGGTTTTGCATTCCAGCTCTCTAAAGAGAAAAAGTCTTTCAGCTTCTCTTTGCCTCAGTTTCTCCATATGTCAGGCTGGAACAATCTTTTTCCCACCTTGAGCTCGAGGAATTCTTGTGCTAAAAGGGTCAATTGATGTGAAACACATTCCCCAAGTTCAAGGCAGTTGACCAAGAGTCATGGGGACATTCCTGCAATGAAGAAAGGTGCTAGTGTTGTCCCTTTAACAAATGGACTCTGAGTCTGTGGCGTTAATGTGTTACACAAGGAAACAGCAGATGACTGATGCTTTCTGCTTCTGAAAGGGACCAGGGATGAGCCAGAAGAGCAACAAACTAATTTGGTCTGACACATTCAGAACTGGCCTATCGAAGACCTCACAGCATCTGGAGGTCTCTCTTAGTGTGTGTGTGGCAGGGGCAGTCTTTGGTGTCCATTGTTGGATGCCAATTCCAGGACCTTCCCTCTGCTAGCCAATCCTATCACTACAGAGCAACAATTCCCTGAAAGCAAGAGGAGGAAGAAGTAGTGGCTGAATTTCCTGCCCCCTTTTTCTGAAGGAGCAAGGCTCTGGTCATCTCCAGGAAAACAGAGAGACCAGTGAAAGACAAGATTCCACAAGATGAATTTCAGGAGCTTTGGCAGAACCAGTTTTGAACAAATCTCCTGGAGGGACAGGCAGAATGTGCAAGAATAATCCAGCAAGACCAAGTTTGCTTGCTTAGCTTTATTTTTTTTTTTAATTAATTTGTTTGTTTGTTTTGTTTATACATGCACTGGGTACAGTCAGAAGCGCGGGAGGGTGAGAGAATTCACCAGAGCCAGAGCGGGGAGCAGAGCAGGCAGAAGGACCAAAGTACACTGCTGAGGGGAGCAGCGGGCGGCAGGAGAGGTCTGCGTGCCATGTGGGACCCTCCTCCGGTGGCCAGGGAGCAGCCGGGGATTGAACCGGCGCTGCAGAGGCCGCGGGCAGCTTCGCAACCCAGCGCTCAACCGCTGCGCCACCGGGGAGCCCTGCTTGCTTAGCTTTAAGCAAAGGAAGGTGTTACAGATGGTATGTGGTTCTCTAAAAGGCAGTAGGTTATAAGTCTTCAGCCCAAATCTCATGTGCCAGTTCTGCCTCTACCACTTGACTTTGAGCAAGTTTTCTTCCTTTCTTCTTTTTGAAACTTGACATATTAATGGTGAAGTTCAAATTGTCTTAGTTTTAAAATATTAAACTGATGCTAAAGTTCATGTGTAAAAATAAACAGATAAAAGATATTATACTAAGTGCTAATAGTATTCTATCTAGCAGGCTCCAAAGTAGCTTGGTCCTAATACAAATAGGTAACTAGGATACTATAGAGTCCAGAACTAGGTCCAAATTGAACATATGATAAATGTGACATTTCTTTTGGGGGTTGTGGGGAGGAATAAATGTTTTGTTTTGTTAGTGTGAACTTTCTTTTTCCTCATGGGCACTGGAATTAGCAAAGTCGTATGAAGTTGCCAAGATGTTTGTTATCTGCCAGTGTTTCTGACTTGGGGATTGGTCCAATAGTTTTCTACCTCTTGGGCAAATGCTGTAAAGGTGGTAAAAGGCTTCTTTCATTTATGAGTCAGGCGCTTTTCAGACCAGTGTTGATGTGCTGGGTCCCT